CCCCCCCCCCCCCCCCCCCCCGCCATGCGACGTGGACAGACACCTGCAATCAGCTAACTCTGAGCAAAGAAGACTGTTCTCCTTAACGTGGGCGGGTGGGCCTCAGCCATTCAGTTCAAAGCCTTCCGGGCAAAGGGAGGAGGCTGCCCAGAAAAGCAGGAATTCTACCCGAAGCTGCAACTTGAACTTGGGTCCACACCGCGCATTTCAGACTTGCCAGCCTCCTCATTGCATGAGTCATTTCCTTAAAAGAAATCCTTTTTTGTTTTTTTAATGTTTATTTTCTTTTTGAGAGAGGGATAGAGAGAGAGAGCGCGCGCGCGCACGCGCGCGCGTGGGGGAGGGGCAGAGGCAGAGGGAGACACAGAATCTGAAGCAGGTGCCAGGCTCTGAGCTGTCAGCACAGAGCCCGACACGGGGCTTAAACTCGTGAACTGTGAGATCGTGATCTGAGCCGGAGTCGGACGCTAACTGACTGAACCACCCTGGTGCCCCAAAAGAAATCCGTTATACCTTATGTCCTACTGGTTTCCTGGGTCACCCTGACTGACGGACGTCCTGACATTGGACTGGGTAGTGGTTGCACCGCTCTGTAAATTGACTCAGAATTACTAGTTGCACTTTAATTGGTGGATGTCACGGTGTGTAGTTTTGCCTCAAGAAAACTGTAACTGAACAACAGAAGCCCGGACGTGTCAGAGCTCAGCTCTAGCTACCACGTGCTCGGCCCCGGGCGACCGCACACCCCGGCACCTTCCCAGTGCAGCCCTCCCTGGTCCAGGCCCTCCTGAGCTCCAGCTCCTGCCCCGGCTCAGAAGGCCTAGACCCTCAGCAGCCTCAAAGCCCTGGGGGCCCAGACTGGGATTTGAGGCCCTGGCGAGGGTGGGGGGCACAGGCAGGGGACGCCCCCTGCAGGATCCAGCCTGGCCTCCGAGCAGGCAGAGAAGCCTGGTGAAGCCATAAAGCCGGGCACCGTGCCTGACGGGTCGTGGGTCTTGAGCCAGACGAGGCCTCCATAAATCATTGACTAAGTGGGTGCTGGGTACCAGGGGTGAGGGACGGGGAGGGTCAGTGGGCCCAGAGAGGCCAGCGAGGCCACAGCAAACCTGTTGGATCTCCACGTGGCAGTGTGGGGGCGAGTGCACGTTAGGAGAGGGTGCACACGTGTGTGTCGATCGTGTCCACATGTGAGCCCCTGCCTCATATTTCAAACTCTGAAGCACCCTGGATGGGTCGCCTGCTGGGCAGGAGGTGGGACGCCAGCCCCAGCAGAGCGCCAGGCAGTGGTGTGCCCGGAGGTGGGGGCAGCAGTGGGGGGAAAGGGGAGAGGGGAGGGGTCGGCCAGGGGAGGCCGCGCTGGGGGCTGGAAGAGTGCGGTAGCAGAGAGAGGATAATCGATGGACACCATGGGTGGGGGGGGGTCTCTCGGGGAGGCGGTGAGGGGGCTGCTGGGAGGCAGGAGTTTGATTTCATTTCTTATCGGACCTAGGCCGGTGGGTGCGAGGCCTGTGAAGCCGGCAGCCTCTGGCCGTCCTGTCCTGCGCCTGAAGCTTCAGCCCTTTGCCAGGCAGTCCCTCCCCCCTGGATCCCACTGCCTCAGGGGAGCCCGCCCTGCTGAGCCTGTCTTGCCCCAGTGGAGGCTGGAGCCACCTGAGGTCCCAGCATCGTGGGGTTTGGAGGCCTGGATGGAATGGACTGTCCCGGGGCAGCAGACCCGCGCCAGTCTGTGCTCAGGGTCTGTACCACGAGGCTGGCAGGGCAGGCTTGTCCCTGAGTGACCAGGAGAGACAAGCACACAGGCAGGATTCCCAAGTCCAGCTTGTGCACAGGGCCAGGGACCTCTACCTTGTGTTCCCAAAGGGCCCCTGGGCCCCAGCTCAGCCTGCAGGAACCTGGCCCACGGGTCTGCCCTGTACCGACTCGGCCCTGACAGGGGACTCACTTTTCCTGGGGCTCTTCTCCCTCCTCCCTGGATGAGGCCCCTAGAAACTTCTGCCCTGCCTCTGTGCCTGTGTGTGTGTGTGCTTGCATGCGCAGGTGCCTGTGTGGGTTTACGTGTGTGTCAATCTCTAGCCCCAAGACCTGCGGCCCCCACTCCCTCTCTCTCAAGGGTGTGCCTTGGCCCCTGCAGTCAGTACTGTCCTGCTGGCTGTCCCCCCACCCCATTGCCCTGGGGCTACTGCCATTGCCTTGCTTCTCCCGACTCCGGAATCAGGGGCTTCCTAGCCTGACCCCCCAGCCTGCTGGTGGCCTCACCCCACCAGATTCCTCCATGCCCTCACTACTATCTTGGAAAACCCCTGTCCCCACCCCTGCCACTCAAGGCCTCTGGGGTCAGGACACTGCTGACCCCGGTCTCATCTGTGTCCCCCAAGCCCATCATGGGGACATGGTGCCCCCTGCCTGCCTTTTGCCCCTGCCCTTCCCTCTGTGTCCCTGGAAGCCGTGTCCAGCACTCCTGGGAGCATTACGCAGGACACTCAGGTCCCTTCTGACACAAGATGTGTCAACCCAGGTCTTAAGTTTGGGGTCGAAAATGTAACTTTCTCAGTACTGCTCCAAGAAACGATGCAAAAAGCATTCTCATGTGCAGATGAATGGGGGCTGCAGGGACACTTTGGGAGCATCTCTGGTCTCCAAGGCTGGGGGCTTCCTGGCACATCCTAAAATCAGGATTTGGGAAGCGGAGACCTGGGGTCTTGGTCAAGGTGCAAACCTAGGGCCATTCTCTTCCAAAAGCATTTGGGGTCCCAAGTGGGGCCAATGGCCGCAGACCCCACCTTCAGGAGCTGCCTGCAGGGGCAGGAGCTGTCCACCCCCACATTAGGATCCTAGTGGGGCCTTGAAAGGGATCAGGAAGGGCCTGGATGGTACTGAGTCTGACATGAAGCCGAGGCTGAGACCTGCCCGTGGGGTAGGAGCCGGTCCCCAGGGTAGCGTGTAGAGGCTGCGAGGGGTGGGGACAGGTCTAGAACCCTTCCCTGTGGGCTCTCTGTGGACAGAGCCTGGTGGCCTCAGTGTCCCCAGAAGGCCTAGCTCAGACACGGCACGCAGGAGGCATGAGATAAACTCCCATGCTGCAAAAGGGTGTGATCTGAACCCCCCAGTTCCTGCCCCTGCCCTGGAATGCCATCCCCCAGCTGCCCCCTCCTCCCCGAGCAACGTGGGGCTGTCTTTTCCTACCCTGCGGCAGGCTGGGTGGCACGTGCCCACCACGTCAGGGCAGCTGGACCAGGCCCCTGCAAAGGAAGATGTGCGTCCCCCCCCCCCCCAGCAGACTGACGGGCCCCGCCCCGTGCTGTGGGAGGCATCCTGAAGAGGCTTCCTACCCCTCCACAGCCCATCCCCGCTGCCAGGCCGGGACAGGGGTGCAGAGCTCAGGGTTTATCGTCCCAGTGCTGACACTGTGCGGAATGGAGCCACGCGGGAGCTGGGAGGGTCGGGGACAGGGATGGGTCACAGAACAGCGGCGCCACAGGGACCGCACCGCAGCCAGGAGAGGAATGTGCCTGCCACGGGTCCCAGCAGGTCCTGGCCGGGCACTCACTGTGTCTACTGCTGTGGGTGGTGAAAACTCTGTGGGCCACGGTCTTCAGAAGCTGGTTCCGGGCCTGACGGACCCCTCTGACCCTCCCACAGACCCTCCTAGATGGTCTGGGTACCAGGAAGATGGCTGGGCTGCCGATGCTGAACTGAGCCATGCAGAAGGGAGAGCAGGGAACTTTCTGGATGAAGACTAAGTGATGGGGGACAGTGGGGGCCTAGGAGGGGCTCCAGGGGGCAGACTGCATTCTGGGGCCCTTCCCCGCAGGACTCAAGCCTCCCCCACCTCTCGACCCCGGCGCTCACGTGGGGCCCCGGGACGCTCAGGCGCAGACCGCTCTAGAGGCCGCCGGAGACAGGGTGATGGTCTCGGTGGCCTGCTGGCTGCTGGAGGACAGCGAGTGGCCGGAGCCGCGCTGGAAGCGGACCCGGCACGGCAGGGAGTGGCCGGCGCCGGCGGGCCCGCGGGCACTCCTGGCGCGGAGCGAGCGCCGGCGGTACTCGCGGTAGTTCTTGGTGAGCAGCGTGTAGAGGAAGGGGTTGACGCAGCTGTTGCCATAGGTGAGGCAGGTGGTCAGGTAGTTGACGATGCGCGCAGTGCGCGGCGTCAGCGTCTGGGCCCCGCGGTACTGGGCGAGGAGCTGCCACAGCCAGAAGGGCAGGAAGCAGGCCCAGAAGAGCAGCACGATGCCCAGGATGAGGTAGAGCACCTTGGGGTTGGGCAGCCGCCGCGTCTGCGTGAAGGAGGCCCGCTGGGACAGCCAGTAGGCCCGGGCCAGGCGCACGTACAGCAGCCCGATGACCGTGCCGGGCCCCACGATGCTCGTCCCGAAGAGCAGGGTCAGGTAGGCGCGGTGGGCGCGCGGGCCCCACACCGGGAGGCAGAGGCTCTTGTGGCCCCTGTGGACCAGCCGGATGGCCAGCATCATGGGCAGTGCCAGCAGCAGCGCCAGCAGCCAGGTGCCCAGGGCGAGGACCTTGCGGTAACCCTTGGAGCGCTGCACCGTGTCCAGCGGCCTCAGCACCGCAGCGTAGCGTTCGCTGCTCATGACGGTCAGGGTGAAGATGCTGGCGTGCATGGTCAGGAAGTCCAGGCTGAAGAGAACTCGGCAGCCCACGTCGCCAAAGTGCCACTCCTTGGTGACGTAGGTGGCCACGATGAAGGGGATGCTGAGCAGGTAGAGGAGGTCGGCCAGCGCCAGGTTGACGACATAGACAGACATGGAGGCTGAGGTGTGCAGGACGCGGCACATGACCACCAGCGTGTACACGTTGCCGGCCACGCCCACCACGCCCATGGCCGACAGCACTGCCCCGATGGCACCCGTGGCCACCAGGTCCTCCAGGGAGCTGGGCTCTGTGGGGCTGGCCCACGAGCGGTTGAGGGATGCGTTGGGGGCAGCAGACGGCTCGGGGAAACCGCTCACGGGCGCGGGGCTCAGCGCCATCTCACGCGGGGCTCCGTGCGGGGGCGTGCTGCTCCTTTGGACGGGGAGGGGGCATCTGTGGGCAACAAGCGTGCTCTGTGGGAGAAGATGCTCATTAAAGATGCAGCTGAGGCAACCACCACGCTCCCAGAAGGCTGTGTGAAGGCACAGTCCCCACCGGGCTCAAGGGCCTGCCGAGGGACAAGGCTCATCGTCTCCCGATGCCCCTTTGGAGACTCTCTGTTCAGAGCCCTACGGCTCTGCCTCATTTTCCCCAGCTCTCCAGGGGGCCCCAGAGAACTACCCAGACCAGCTGTCCCTAGTGCATGCCTCCGCAGCACCCCCAGCCCAGTCTCAGAGCAAGTCCAAAGGCCTGTGGGGTTGACTGGTCTTTTCTGCAAACCAGAACATGGCAGGGCAGCCCCAGGGGGTGGGGGCAGCAGTGGGTGGAGCCAGGAGTCCTCCCCAGGCCGAGGGTTGTGCTATTCCCAGAGTCCTTTCTCCCAACTGTTTTCTCCTGCACACTTCAAAAAAATGTGTTTAGATTACTAAAGTAATATTCACCGATTTTAAAAGTTAAACCAGGAAAATATTCCCCCTGGCGAACAGGGGGAAGCACCTGTAATGTCTCTTTATCCACGGGGGGGAAATGAGCCTTGATTCCTACCTCGTGCCATTCACAAAATAATTCAAGGTGGATTGTGGACCTGTGTATAATAGGTTAAATCAACCAAGCTAGCTAGCTTCTGGAAGAAATGCAGAATACCTGCGTGACCACGGGCAGGCAAAGATTTCTCAAAAACGAACAGAAAACACTGGAAATAAAACAGGAGACCAAGCAGGTGGACTTCATTAAAATCAGCGACTTCGCTGAGAGTAAAAATGTAAATTAAATCGTGAACCAGGAAAAGACTTTCAGAAGACAAAGAACTAGTAACCAAAATATATGAAAGAACTAAATAGACACAGACTAAGGACTCAATTGGAGGGGGGAAAGAAAGAGATTTGAACAGGAACTTTTCAAAAGAAGTATCCAAATGGCCCAGAAGCACATGAAGAAATGCTCAACATCATCAGTCGTCAGGGAAGCAGAGTTCAAAACCACGGGGGGCCCAACCTAATGGCTACGATCAGAAAACAGATACAGGTGTCTGGGCTGACGGAGGAGCCGGCGGGAGCGTGAAATGGTGCAGCCCCTTTGGAAAGCAACGTGGCACCATCAGTAAAGCGGGACACGTCCTCTTCCTGAGCCTGGGTCTGCCCCCGAGAGAAGTAACTGCAATTCTCCACTAAGAGACAAGCGTGAGAACGTTGACAGCAGCTTATTTCTGATACCCAAGAGCTGGAAACAGCCCAAACTTCCATACGTAGAAGCGTGGATCAACAGACTGACATCTCCCTAGAAGTGCTCTGCAGCAGTGGAGTGGGTGGGGTTGCCGCTTGAGTCGGTAACTTGGAGGAAACTCGCCCATGCTACGCTGAGCGAAGGAAACCAGACAGAAAACACAGCTGTGTGGGGCCCTTACGGGACGTTCACGCACCGGCAAGATGCTCTGTGACAGTGGAGGTCAGAGTGGTGGTTACCTACTCTGTCAACTGGTAGGGGCACTGGGGAGTCCTCGGGGGGTGGGACTGAAGCAGGCTATGTCCTGATCTGGGTGGTGGTCACACGCATGGGCACAGACGCATGTACTTAAGACCTGTGCTTCCGGGACGAAGATTATCCTCACAAGAAGAAGAACGGCCCCCCCCCCCAAAAAAAACGTGAGATACTTAACTGCAGGGGGCGGGGTCTGTGTCACCCCACGTCCCGGTGTCCAGGGATAATAATGGCTTCAGGCGTTCTCCCTCTGCACGTCCAGTGGCGGTAATAACAACGGTGAGTCTGGACTGTCCCACCCTGAGCGACCAGAGCCCCGCGTGCTCTGATCACCGGCCCAACCTCCGGTCGGGTGCCTGGCCAGGGTGCCCCTGTACCCCCCCTGCTGAGGGCTGCAGGCCTTGAGGGAAGGACCACCAGGAGGGATGTGAAGCGCCCCCCCCCCCCCCCCCGCCCGCCCAGATCCTGCGGCTTCCAAGAGGGTCTTGCGCTCACAGTCCGCAAGCAGCCCATGCCAGGCACCGCGGGGCCGGCGGGAGGGCGCCCCGACACCCGGACGCCCCTTTGCCTCGACGCCCCTGTCCTGCTCCCTGACAGCCCCACGCCCCCAGCCCCGGCCGCGCACTCGCGCTGGTGTCCTGCTCCTCGCTTACCAAGCGTGGGGTCCGTCCCGAGTCCTGGGTCACCGAGCACGTCCCCAAGTTCCCGGGTCGGCGGAGGGGCGCCCGCCCCCAGGTCCCACCGGGAAAGCCGCACTCGCGTCCGGACCCGGACCCGGGTCGTCGCCGCCACCTGCCCCGCCGCCAGCTGAGAATGCGCCGCGCGGGTATTAATAACCCGGGGCCGAGGGGGGCGCTGGAAGGAGGGGACGCGGCTGGGGGCGCTTGGGGGCGTGGGGGCGGTGCTTGGGAGAGGGGGCGGTGCGGGGGGCGGTGCTAGAGGAATGGGGGGCGGTGCTGGGGGAGGGGGCGGTGCTGGGGGCGGTGTTGGAGGAATGGGGGCGGTGCGGGGGGCGGTGTTGGAGGAATGGGGGCGGTGCTGGGGGAGGGGGCGGTGCGGGGGGCGGTGCTGGAGG